CCCCCCCCTCCACCTTGTAAATTCAATATGTATTCGATTCAATCCTTCTGACAATATTTCACATCCTTTTTTCATCTAAGTAGTAGTGGTGGCAGAAGCTCCTACTTCAAAATGCCTCGACTATTTTGGAAGCGTCTCTCCTACAATCAAAGGGGTTTTTCTTGAAACTTCCACAGTTTGCAGCCCTATGGAAGTACTGATCACGCACATGTCAAGGTCGTGGTCCATGAACGCAGGAAATATTTCTGGAGAAATTCTTTCTAGCGATGGCAATCATTGAGAATCAACTTGCGCTTTGTTTCATGATCGAAACAAGGTCGGAGATCGCTAATTTGATAACCGAAGGAAGGGTCAAAATTCGATCAGTATTGCATGATAACAAAACATGTCTGCCACTGTCACGTACACAACCGATCATTCGTCAAGATTTTTTCCAAATTGCGAAATTTCGTCCTTTAAGTGCTCTGTCTGAACAATCTTACCTACCCTAGTTGAGCATAATTGCCTGCTACATATGTTCTCTGCTCCAGATAGATTCTTCCCTATTATTCCTGTTTTTATTTTTTGGCGCACCATTGAGTGTGCTGGGTTCAGGAAAGTCTAAACTCCACAAAAGAGTTCGCGTCAGGTGGAGAACTTTCGAATATTGGCTGAGGTAGACGCGCAATACACGTAATGGCGTTACGTAACCCTATGAGAGGTGAAAGATGTAAGCCTGGGAGGGACCAGGGAACCCAGAGTGCAAGCATTTTTCATTTTCCCCGAAGTCCCTTCCGCCTCTCAAGCTTAGTCCTAGATACCACAAGTGGAGGGAAAATCCAAATTTATCAAAAAGTGAAGAGATCAGCGCCATTATAGTCACTGCGTGCATTGCGCGTCTACTGTATTCTAATACTTGGCATTCCCGTTCCCCCTCTCGTAGTTTTGCATGAATTTTCTTCAAAACGGATCCTTTTTAAAGCGCTAGTATTTTAATTTTTATTAGTCATAGCGAATTCATCACAACACAAGGGTACTTGACAAAATGCTGACTATATTAGTTCCGATTTTTGGCGGAGATAGGGGAAAACGAAACCGTTTGAGCGATGTTAGATCTTCTGAACATTCAAAGAGAATACTTGTCGTGGTTTCAATGCAAGGAGCACTCTGCTTCACGAAGCCATCCCTCCAGCTATACCCTATAGAGGTTCTGAAGGGCTTCCTAAAATTCAAAATATTCACTCCTACGGTAACCATTTCAAGGCATTTGTGTTGACAGGGCAGATTAAGCACTGCCAGTGATCGATCCTTTTCGTGATGAGCCATGCATTCTTTTTCCTTTCAAATCACAGTGCCACTTCGAATGCGTTTCCATTGGACAAGCAAATGAATCGCCGAGGGTCATCCAATAGATACAGATACCACTTACCCTTTCTTCCGCCATTCAGCGATGGTGAATGCTATCTTTCTATGATCAAAATAGTGGTCGCCAAAAAGATTGGTCCGGTGTGGCCTGTTTCCAGGACGCTAAGTCATACGACCCAACGTAGGAGAGCAAAGCCAAGCGATCACATACAGAAGTGCCGCCTAATGCTGGTTTTTGATATGCGCTCGCTGATAGAAAAGTATTTTAGACGATATAAAATTATAAGGTATCGTCCAAACATTTGATACGGAATTTGCACAGGCTATTGACTCGCAGGACAGACGCACTGTTCATTTCATTATCTAGGTGAGGGAGAGAGGAGCCAAAAAAAGCTTCTCCTTCGCCCATGACCCAAATCATCAACATTTTCCTCTCACAGGGTGCCCTTGTTGATAAATGTTTTACGTCAGAATATTCTTTAGGTGTTCCCCCCCCCATAATCAGAAATAGACTCCTTCACCCCTACCGTCTTCAGAACATGACGTCATATGGGCCTTAGATCACCGGTTCGACTTGCAAGAGCCGAGGCTTAACATGAAATCGCCTCAAGGAGCCTTGAAGCATGCCACATTATATATATTTCTAATCCGGTTACTGAATGAGTCAAGGTGGGATAGTTTTTTTTTAATTGCACGATAGTATGTGACGCAGGACGTCAACAAGAGCATTTTAGCAGTATAAACCGGCGAGTACGTCATGGTCATTGTATACCTCGACACGGCGAGCTCCATCCATCCTGCACACCCAAATCTGCTGTCTGACTTGAAGGGAGAAAAATCTACTCTGATTTGTCTTAGAAGGCAACAAACTGGCATATTTTGGATGATGTGGTCAACGCAACGCTTTTTCTGATAGACTAATACTCATGGATGACTCTCTTATGATATATCAGCTCTCGGAGCTACACTTTCGGATCACGGTATACGCACAGAGATAGCGTGAAATAAAATTCCGTTACTGTAGAATATTGTAGAGACAGCAATGACTTTTGTCCCCCCCCCCCCCCACGTTACATGGCTTCTAATCTGACAGAGAGGACAGATAAGGGAGTTTCAGTTTCAGAAGGGGGGCTGATCTACATTCACTGGCGCTTCCACTTTGCTGCTGCAAGGGTAAGGTGCGAGACAATTTTCGCATATATTTACAAAGCAAGGCATAATGCAAGACCACGTCGTCGCACGACCTGCCGCCATTCTTCTCATGGTTTTTTGTCTTCCTAAACAGGTTTAGTTCCAATTTGTGGACAGGTTTGCTTGCCCTTGACAAAGAATCGCTCCGTCATTTCATTAGTGCACAGTCTTGCTGGTTACCGTTGAGCTCTGCTCTGCTCGGTGTACCATCGGTGCATATTGGGGCTTATACTTATAGCACTTTAGCTTACAGTTCAGCGCCTTACAAGCTTTCCTAGGACTACCTGCTCTAATGAGTTTCGTTTTTTTAGCTATGGCTCTTTAGAGCATTCAGACCAGGTAGCTGCATTTCAGGCCTTACAATCTTTCCTTCAGGACTACCTACTCTAATGAGTTTCGTTATTTTTTCTTTTTCCTGTTTGGTTGCTCCTATAAACAGTGCCTCCAGAACCACCTTCCTGTCTATACGAGCACTCCGATGGTGTCGATTGGTTGCCCTAGTTAGATCTCCCTCTATCTAACCTTCAACCTTTTTGAGTGTTTGTCCTGCAGCAGAGTTTTCTACGCAGCTATTCAATTCGTGGGAATTGATGGATGGAATGGGCTACTTGTTCAACATCAACGTCCAGAATTGTAGAAATGTTTGAATGCGTCGTTCAGCGTTACAATGACTTTGTGTGGTTAACTGATTTTACAGCATATTTTACTCTCCTATATTCCCCACAATTTTGCCCCCTCATTTTGTCATTAAAAAAGTGGAGGGCTCGGAGCAGAGTGGCCTTCGACGTGCGGAGACCTATTGGATCTCTGTACAAAACTTTTTCAATCTTCTCTTTCGCCTTCCAACCAACACTACGGTAGACCTACCTGCAATACCGTTCATCTTAAGAAGCTGCTCCTGTCAGAGGAGGGGGTGGGGTTAGGAGGAAAAGGACAGGGAAATTTTCTCTCAAAAAAGACATAAGTCACCTGCACCGAACACGGGTTCGCTTGTCGTTCTCTCTCAGAGGTAGTGCTGAAGAAGCAGCCATATTAGTTTTCGCTCACCGTGACAGCTCCTTTTGCTATTATTGCCTGCTAGCTTCCACGGAACTATTAGCTGGGATTGATTTTCGTGGACTTCGTGCAGATTGCGACCTTCCACTGCCTTACGCTATCCTTCTACGACTTCTTATTTTTCATTTTTCTGTGTCTACGTAAATCTCTCAAAAAGGTAAATTTATCAGGAAATGTCACGTGATACAATGCTCTCATCGGGCTGTGACGCCATTGGCAACACTCCATTGGTACGGCTAAATCGCGTTACCAAAGGACTGGAAGCAACAATTGGTGAGTCAGAGAAGAAACAGAAGAAAGAAAGTTCCGTTACTAAGAAGGAACACTGTTAGGTTGACTCTCAGGTGCGGCAAGGCGCGCCCGAACCAGCTGTTTTGGAATTTCTAAGGAAAAAAATCCGTGATAAAGGTGGTGTTCATGAAAAAGAAGGTTGGGTAGTGGAGAGGTAGGGTAGGGTAGGGTCAAAGTAAGTGATATGTGGCTCTTTAACGGCGAAAAGCACCCTGGTGGCAAGCTATAAGATGTAAAAATGGGTCCAACAGAATCTAGACATACCGTATCCCGGGAGCGTTGTGTGATTTTATTCTAAGGAACGCCTCTAATATTAAGCGCCCTCACCTTGCTCTTGCTAATTTTAGCCTTCGCCTTTAGGCGATGATTCTTCCGTGCAGTACTAATTTTAGCCTTCGCCTTTAGGTAGGGATGATTCTTCCGTGCCGTACTAGTAATATTTCACAAGAATGCTGGGTTGTGAACAAAACTTTCGCCCCAGACGGGACTCGAACCCGCACCTCTCGCTTTCCGGGCAAGTGCGCTACCAGTTACGCTACCGGGGCACCATTTCATCCAACTCAGCTTTTCATGGTATACTTACCATAGTAAGTTACACCTTACCCTGGGAAGCTGATTTATTAATTTTACCAATGATATTATCATATTCGTAATATTTATATAAAATACCTAATTTTAGTATGATTACAAAAGTCAAACTGTTACAATGGCCAACGAAGCGCCTACAGCCTGAGTAACTTATCCAAATTTGCAATCAACAGTGAACAAAAAGGGCGTCATCTCTCGGGTCTTGACGAATTCGCTTGTTTTTTTTTCTACGTACCACTTAATCCCTCTGATTCACATTTCAACCGTATCAGCTTATCGCGAGTTTTGCCTTCCAAGGCAGTGGATACGGTAGCTTGACAGTTTAGGTTAAAATTATACCTACTACAAAGAGAAGCTGGGTGCTCAAGCCGAAGATTTGTAGCGCACGTAGTGATAAAACCTGCGCTCAGAATAACTGATCAAAAACCTATGCGTTTTCGAGGACGCGACAGGAGGCCCGTCACAAGGCGAAATGGCAGAGACGCAGACAGGTCAGAGGACGAGTTGCAGCGCATATTGGGCAATGAAGGCCATAGGCCAACATTCTATTCAAGCTGACACGAAATCATTGCAGTGCTCGTTGCGACTCGTGGCCGATCCATCTTCATCTTTGCTTTATCACCGCGCGACGGGCCTCCTGTCGGGTACTTGCGTTCCCTGCTGGGCCTTTGGCTTGCTCCGCCTCCAGAAGGCTACCTAGCCCATCTGCGCTCTAAGCTCTACAGCAGCGAGGCAGAGCAATGCTTCATATGTAAGGTGGGATAGACTCAGATAAGAACCACTATGCTACCGAGGACTATCGGTCACATTGACAATGCCAATTGTGAAATCTGGGCCGGTTTTCAAAAAAAATTGCCGAGAAAGCCAAAAAATAGGTTTCTCCCCGCTGCTTCCTTCCAACGGCCAGGATACCAACGGCTTGAATATTTGCTAGATCACAATTTCAAGACTCTAATTGGAAGAAGAATGTAAAATTGTCAAATTGAAAAGAGCTTTTTCAGCTGTGAAATTGGAATATATGAATCCTGCTGGGTCGGTGAAGGATCGTATTGCATTCAATATGATCCAGAAAGCAGAAGATGAAGGAAAGATCACACCTGGGAAGACGGTGCTCATCGAGCCCACCAGCGGCAACATGGGAATTGCTCTCGCCTATTGTGCAGCGCTGAAAGGGTAGGTGGACTTTTTCTATGGTTACTACGAAACCTTCATAGACTGAATACAATCAAAAGCTAGGATACCTGAAGAAAAGTCTTACTCATTCAGCATACCTAGGCGGTATCGTAGTCAAGTTAATAGGATTTATTCACCAATTTACGTTTGCACGAATGCGCCAAAGAATGTGCCTGAACGCCTAAAAAAAAAGATAGATCAAAGGCGAGCAGGGTGCTTGGGAGGAAAAAAAACCGGAGAAATGTATCGTACTATCCGAGAACATGGACCTGACTTTGTTGCCCGTTCATATGCCGCTGAGATGCGACTCTTATCGGCGCTGGTAACCAATTGGGATAACTATCATGTACGAAACGTTTTTTTTCCTGGAAGAATCACTTTAAGCAAAAGGTTTATCTCATTTGATGTTTGATTGAGAACATATTATTTATTTATGTGGTGGAGCAAAAATTCAGTCTTTCCGACAATTTTCTAATTGAGCATTACAGATATAAATTGATCCTGACAATGCCATCCTCGATGAGTGTGGAAAGACGAGCTCTATTGAAAGCATACGGTGCTGAGGTAAGCTTTCCTTACCATACTCCAATCTCAGGCGTGAAAATGAAGAGTTGTGATGAGTAAGAATGGCTAATTCAGGTCAACAGCGAGGAGGGGAAAATTCTTTGGGAAAAAGCTTTTTTGGTTGGTCAAGACATGAAAGGGGATAGCAGAGTTGCCGTGTGATATCGAGCAATTCAGATGATTTGACTGCTAGAATAAGAAGTTCTATGCGGGGGAGAGCGGTGTACTTTTAGGTAGAATTTTAGACTGCAATGCATTGGAGATTCTAAGTTTGTTAGGAACCAGTGAAAGTTGAAGATTCTTTCGGATGTTTTGCAGAAGTTTACGAAAAATGGATATTTTGGTGTTTGACTATTATATTTCCCACAGGATCACATCCTTCCTCCACCTCCCTGTTCTTCCGCTTAAATGGGCGTAATTTTTTAATTTCTATTTTTATTATTTTTATCATTTGTCGGTATGAGTCCCAGGAATTCAGTATAGGCTTATGGAAAGGACTGCTGGACGGTTGGAGTACGAACTTAGTTTATAGAGAGTATAGGATTTCTTCAGTAAACGGGAGGGGGACACTTGTCGCTGTTGGGAGAAGACGGGGGTGGTTTGGTCATAAATACGCCGAGATGACGCATGGCACACCCCGGATAAACTCTGGAACTCCAGAAAAAAAAACCACAGGACAGAATCGGATTAGGTGGTACCTAAGCGGCATCCCGAGTGAGTTAGGTTTCACTCTAGCAAAAAGCGTTTCCTAAGCGGCTTCGATTTCAGTGTGATGGTTTAAATATATTTAAATATATAAATTTGAATGATTGACGATATGAAATAATTCAGGCAACAGTTATTCAAATTCACAACAATTTCTCTCTTCAGGTGGTGCTGACCGATCCAGCAGTCGCTGTGCGAGGTGCTATCGAGAGAGCAGAGGAGCTAGCAAAAGTGATACCGAATGCGTTCATTCCTAATCAAGTACGTTTCTCTTACGATTTCAAAAACCTTAGTAACAATGAGTAGCCAATTTTGCTATGTGGGAACGAGCATTCGTAGCTATTGAAACTGCTAATAATTGGCTTATTAATCATTATGACTGCTTGAAATTAGTTATATGATATGTGTTTCCGTTTACAATTCCCGCAACCTCTGAAGCTCATTACTTGACCACAGGACCGGAAATCTGGAAGCAGACTGGCGGCAAGGTACTTCGAAAAAATTGCCTTTTTTGGGAAAATGTGTACACATCATTGCAAAATGTCTCGACTGACTTGGGAAAATGTGTAGAATGCTAGAGCGCAAATGTCAACTCTTTGACGGCCTGAAGATTCGTTTGCTCTCGCTGTCGGCTCGCCATTTATTATGAAGGATCAGCAATCAGTTGCAAATTTTGCGTGGGGAAAAAACACCTATTCCAATTATCGCCTATTGTCGCCCCCTCGTAAGGGGAACGGCATTTTGCAACTTCTTAAGCCTCCCATGAACTTCATTTCATGCTGTGATAATATTCAACTAGAACAAATTGCATTCAAGTATAAGGAAGCTTTAGGAATTAGTGACCAAGATTTTACTCTGACAAAACAAGAAAATTAGTCATTCCAGGTCTTGAACGCAGAACCTGGATGAAAGTAATGGTGATAGCTTCACAAGAATGCTGGGTTGTGAACAAAACTTTCGCCCCAGACGGGATTACAACCCGCACCCCTCCACTTGCCGGAAAGCGAGAGGTGCGGGTTCTAGTCCCGCCTGGGGCGAAAGTTTTGTTCACAACCCAGCATTCTTGTGAAACATTCGCAAGGCGAACTGCGGCCAAAAACAGCAGTTAACAAACAAAATAAGTCAAATGGTAATAGCATTCGAGTCTATGACGTGGGCAGCTTACACAAAAAGTATAATCATATCAGTTATGACAGGAGGTAGTTGAACAATATGAAATTTTGGACATCTCTCCATGGGCGCCGTTCACTCGAGTTCTATCTAGAACGGTGATACGAATCAAATCCCACCTAGGCGACCACTTACGGAAGTCGTCCGTATTCTGATACTCAGAATTTGCTCACAGCCACTTTTATAGCTTTTGGACTTCGGTAAAATGGAGAAAGAGAGAGCTGAGACATTCCTAATTAAAATCTGATTCCAAGCACTTAATCATGAGTTTATTTTTGATAAGGAAAGTAGAGATGCGACGTTATTAGCCATGAAAAAATGGAAAACAAACCGTAGAAAACACTACAAATGAAGACCTCATTTCATGGAGGTCGCCAGCGTGGATATCATAGTCTCAAAGGCGGAGCGTGCGATTAGCAAGCAGCCTACTAAAATCAAGGTAGAGGTAGTCAGGGGTACCGAGGTTATGACCGAGAAATTGGACCCTAAATTGCCCGTTGATTTTCGCATTGATGGGACTTTCTTCATATTGCCCTCATCAACGCTAACGCTCTCTCTACTAAACTGCAAGAGATCCCCGGCAAGTGGTTAGCAATTGGTGGGCGTGCCGCGCCGATATCGTCGCGGGACGGCCGCTGGATTGCTGGGGGCATAAACTTCGCTGCCATTGCCTCTCTGTCCGCACTCTTATGGGTTTGCCTATCTTTTCCTGAGTGAGCTTCCCCTTCTTCAATCTTCGACCTTGACGTGAAATTCTCCTTTAAGTCATAGTCCTGAAGACTTTTGTTAGCGCCATGCGACACTGTTGCAGTGTTCGGATCAACTAATGGTTTGATCTGGTATTTTATTTTGCAAGTCTACCCCATTTTGTTCGACGCATTTTGCCCTGGTTGGGATTGTTCCTCAGATGGTGCAACCGTTACAACACGATAACAATACTTCTATCTCCTGAAGTAGTCGTAAAACAGCCCTGTCAACAGCTGGGTATTCTGTCCAAAATCGATTGAGCGTTTGTTCAGGTTGATATTGTATGTTTTGGAGTTGGATCAGGTGGAACGTGCACGGGAGTTGGTCGCTATTTGAAGGAGAAAAATCCAAACATAAAGGTACGTTTATTGATTTCTATAAGGAAGTAACGTTGGAGCGCTTTTTACTTTAAACAGTTAAGTTCAGGCAATTGTACTGAATCCCTGTGAAAAAAGATCATTGTTAATATGGCTATGAAATGCGAAGAGGGCAGTGGCGCTGTGAGCGTTCCCATAGTCCAAGTTCAAACCACGTTTCGCTTCCTGACAGCAGAGCCCTACACCTCTATGAAGTCATTGAGCTGGTATGGGAGCGTGGAACCTCTTATTCTAAACCGACCGGCCTGACATGTCATATGCCAAGTACATATTCAGTTGACGGTAATCCGGACTCGAAGTCGAATACGTGGCGTATGCCACGTATCCTACCTACCACGCCATGTATAGAATGGACAACATTTAGCGCTTTATCCGTTCTATCATTTTTTATGAAATGAAAATCAAAGGGAGTAAGTACATCAATTCGGTCAACAGTCTTCGGTTAACGTTAAGGTGCTATCTGGTGTGGCAGTGGAATGGAAACCAAGAGACATGGCCCATTACCCGCTTGGGTTTTGTTCCACTACAACTGCTATCCTCAACATGAAGGCTCTGCCACTCTGCCGTAACGGCCAAAGTGTTGAGGGACAAGGCTCAATGAACGAGGCAGTCAACTGAAAGGGGTGGGGGCGGGGGCAGAAGCTCGAAAGCTTCGCGAAAAATGAAAGAGCCTTGCTGCTCACGAGAAGTTCCTCTATGTTCTCTGTCACGAAATACTAGCGCGCAAACGACTAGAGTACGGCTACTACCCGGCTTCCAACTTTGCTGGACGGGAAGTCTGTGAGGCAGGAGTGAAGGCAACCCGTAGGGTGTGGGAGGAGGTGCGTGAGTCACCTATAGTGTGGCAGAAATTGGGGCGTGCCAGGCCTTTGCAGTCGCTATCTGCTATTCGCGCGAGAGAGTGGAGGTGATGGCAGTAGCTCGGACGAGTTGTTAAGAATCGAGTTCCAATGGTGCCAAATGACCGTTGTAGACTTTTGAATACCACCTCTTTCAATGGCGGCGCCACATAACCCATTCCCGTAAGGCATCTAGCTCCTCTCTGCAACACACAGTAGCGGACAAAAGTGTTCGCCGAAGACGTTTCTAACAAGGGAGGTCGTTCAGGGTGTGGAGCGCTTTTTCAAAACGGTTTTTTGCATGCTGTAGGGGCTCTCACGGGGACGACAATACTATGTTTCATTTTCGCTGAGCGGCCTTCTGAAGGCCAAAAATTGGTAGGGAAGTGGTCCAAGGTTCAATCCCTCTTGATGACAGAATTTTTGCACTTTAGTTGGAGCTTCGAAATTTCCTTAAAATAGCGCCAGCACCAGTACTAGGTATCGTACTCATCATTAAGACCATGAGCAAGAAATGCAGTCAAACTTTTTCCAGAATCTGTGGAAAAAAGTTGTAGCGCCAGAAAGGCGCCAAACGGCGCCAAACTAGCGTAAATTGAAGCTATCGGATAAAATTACATTATTCATCAAGTCTGTGATCAGGGCACATCGATATTTCGGCCTAAACTCAGAAGTTCTTTCAGAAAATTGAGAATTTGACCTGGATCCGAAAAATTGGCCATAGGTCAGTAGCCCACATAGTTGCCTCCAGCCGGTGCACTGGAAACGAGTTCCCAGTTATCCTTCTCAAATAACGAGAAAGTATCACTGCTAAATGGACAATGGGAGACACCCAGGCTGGTAATGGGCAACAGGGCACCATGATTTTGAAGTCGGCAGATTCTCCCCTTCATCAAGACGTGGTAATTGGGTCCACGGCTCCTCCACTCGCAAGGCTGCGTGTCCATAGATGGAGCGATTTCAAGGACTGCGACATGATGGAAGATGTTATGAAACCGAACTTTAGTTCCCGTGAGCCGACAAGGCATTGCGCTTGATTTCGGCGCCGCACTCGTATTCAAGTCGCTCGGCTACAGGTCGTCATACCTGTAGCCCATGGCCACCCTCTTTTTCGAAGTTAGGTCAAAACCTAGATTTTTCCTGAAATTTGGCATGTGGGGGTAGATCAGGGTCCTGTACACGATTATGGCGTTCGTTTTTGACGTCGGCGCCATTTGGCGCCAGTTTGGCGCTGCGAACTTTTTCTTCCAATTTTCGGCTCCTGAATGAGAATATTAGCGTTAAAATTTTAACGCTGAATCAATCTTTGAGCCGGTCAATGTTGGAGGTGATTAATCAAAAATGCAAGAAAGTAAGGCAGGCAGCGCACCTTGATTCCACAAAGTCGGTGGGCCAACCCCAGTCCCACCACGCTAAGTCCTCACTCGGCAACACCTGCTCGCTGCGATGGGTAAGGTGCCGACGACGCCTATGAAACCTCTACACTTTCTTCAGCAGTACCACGTACAGTGCTTCAATTTTGAGCGAATTTCGAGTTGTTTTCGATATTATCTTCATCGGCGCCCTTCAAAATGCAGGTGGTCGTTTGTACAGGTCCGAAACTTCACTCCAAGGCAGCAAAAACCCACCCCTTCTTAACGAATTTTTTTCGACCATTTTTTGGCCTTCAGGGGGCCGCTCAGCGAAAACGAAACGCAGTATTGTGGTCTACGTGAGAGTCCCTACAGCATGCAAAAAACCGTTTTGAAAAAGCTTCCCACACCCTGAACGACCTCCCTTGT